AAGCATCACATCCGTAAATAAGTATATTCACACTCCCGACCGTTGAATCAGCAGGCGCGCACACTAACCGCTACACCAGACAACCCCAAAGCATCGTCGGGAATAAAACGAGTGGATGTAGGCACCGATAAGCCGTTTGAGTACTGCGCGAAAATTCTTTCTTCAACCCCCCAAAAGGGCGCTTTATTTCCTTGTAGAAAGTGCCGTTTCCCCGTTCAGTGTGCCAGCTTTTGCACACATTTCGTCTTTTCGAGGAACAAAGCGCCCCTTTCAGGTAAACTGCGCACTTACTCTGGATAACTTTCAGAGTGTAATCACTCGTTTTGTAATGGCAGACTTCTTAAAATAATAAGCGGCTTAAATTATCAAAATAATTACAGAAATGGCAATTATTGATTTCTAAATCACTTCAGATAGGTGGTCATGTCATATAAAAAACTAGGAGCCCTTCCTGCAAAAAGAGCTTGTTGTTGCTTTGTGGTTCTCGCAGAAGAAACCGCTCGCAGTTACCGACGAATTATGAAATAGCACCTATTTCACCAGTGAAACTGAAATTGAAGTTAAAGTGTGAGCATCCCACTCTTAAGAGATGTCCAGAATGAGCAAACATCCTTGTACTATCAATCAATTTACATTGCTTTGCCACTGTGTGGGGCATCGTCTGCTAATAAAGCACGCTTTGCCCTCGTAGGATAAAACTTCAAAAAAATCAAATCATTTTATTTTCCCAGAAAGAAACAGGTTCTGGAGAGGTTCACTGGCTAAAAGCTGTTTATGGACAGCTTGACGAGGCCAGTGAACCCTATACAAGGCAGGTGAGACAATTACAAAAGATGTGTGTAACAATAAAGACCATAAGCTAACATAAAAATACCAAAATACGGTGTAATAAAAACATATATATACATTCCTACGAAACATCCTGATACCAGCATAGCACAGAAGATTATATGGACGCGAGCAAAAAGAAAAAAAAACAAAGAAAGAAAACAAAAGAAAAATCCGGCAATCATAACACCAATATGGCTAAAAAAATAAAATAATAAAATGATGAAAATATCAGGGAAGATGCATACAAATTTGATCCTTGTGTATGTGCTGCATCATACAATGTACATATATCAGACAAACAAAATTATACAGACTGAATTATATCATATAACCTATTCGGTACAGCATGGATGCACACACTGAAAGAAAAATGAATTGGTACTATCGTACAGACAGCACATTTTACAACGTGAAAAAAGTTAGCCTATATTTACAAAAAAGGATCGTAGTTCTTTTAATGAGAAACTGTTTACATGACTGTATTTATTAAGAATCATTGGTAGATTGTATTGCAATGTTTGAGATTTATAATTATTGCGAAACCTCGGAACAAACCAAACAGCACTGCTTCTTGTTCCTAACAAAACATTTTTTGCAGTTAGACATGCGGTATTTTTAATGAATTGTTTAAACGAAATGGAAGAGAAATAGTAGGATCGCAGAATGCGAAAGATATACATATATTCCACTTTAATAATACCATAGTCCCGACACGCAAGTTGTGTTGATGACAAATAATCTAAATTAGCGACATGTCTAATAATTTTTTTCTGCATGGTCTGAAGTTTCATTATGTTCGTTTTAGTCGTGGTTGCCCACACCAAACTGCAGTAATTTATGTGCGAAAGAAAAAGAGCATGGTATATTTGCAGTTTCACCTTTGCGGGTAAGATATATCTACAACGAGCTAGCACACCAACTACACTAGAGGCTTTTTTGCAGATGTCAACGACGTGTTGGTTCCAGCTGAGGTTTGATGAAACGTGACGCCAAGAATTTTATGTTCATCCACAAAACGAATGTGTTCACCTGCGTAAACTAACGCTTGTGTTGATGAAAATATTTTGTTTTTAGCTCGGAATACGATGGCTTTTGTTTTCAGTGGATTAATTTGCAATAAATTTTTGCTAGACCACAAGAAAAGCTTGTTCAATAGCTTATTACACCGGATAATTAGCTCATTTGCGTCAGGGCCTGAAAAAAGTAAGTTCGTGTCATCAGCATATATAACAAAGCTCACACTGGGATCAATATCCACGATGTCATTTATGTAAGCATTGAATAATAGCGGCCCCAGTACGCTTCCCTGGGGCACACCATTTAGAACAGGTAAATATGATGACGTATGAGTGCTTAACTGTACGCGTTGCTGTCTATTTTGCAAGTATGACTTTATCAACTGAAGTGACGTGCCACGGATTCCGTATGATTCAAGCTTAAGCAGTAAAATGGTATGATTAATGCAATCGAAGGCCTTGCTGAAATCAAGAAAAACAGCTAACGTGAAAAGATTTCGTTCAAAATTTGCAGTATCATTTCCTTAAGTGTTAATAGGGCCGTCTCCGTTGACCTTCCTTTCCTAAAACCAAACTGAAAGTCAGTGATTATATTTCTGGAGCAGAAGAAGGCAGATATACGCGTATAGATTAACTTTTCTAATCCTTTAGAAAACACAGGAATAATAGATATAGGTCTATAATTAGTCACCAGGTTACTGTCACCACCCTTGATTGAAAATGTGGCTGAGCGCAGGAGTAATGCAATCTAAGACATATTTTATAGGTTTTATTTGAATGTTGTCAATGTCTAGTGCCTTACTGTTCTTTAGGTTCATGAATGTCGTGTAAATTTCTCGTTCATCTGTTGGTGCTAGAAAAATACTGTCGGGGCGTTTATTTCCTGGTGGAGCCCTGAAAGAGTTTGCCTGCAAAGGCACGTTTGCTGATACACCCACATTGACAAATTGATTATTCAAGTGATCCGCAAGTTCTTTGCCAGGGAGCTCGACATTGTCAACGGTAATCTTAGCTGGTGTGGAGTCCCGCTTACCGCGACCAAGCACATCATTAATTAAGCGCCAAACAACATCAGGTGATTGCTGGGCGCTTTCAGCAAACATTTTCTCGTAGTAAGTTACCTTAGCTCGCTTAAGCTCCCGATTCAGCTTGTTACGTGTTTTTTTAAACTCTGCCAGATCTGTCAGTAGTCTTGATTTCAAGAATAAGTTGTAAAGTTTATTCTTAAGTCGTATCATACTAGCAAGAGAGGGGGTCACCCAGGGTTTACGTATTTTTTTCGATAGTTTAACTTGCTTGAATGGGAAGTGTTTTACGTATATACGTACAAAGGCAGCAAGAAATTTTCGATAGGCTTCGTCTGCAGAAGTTAAGTTGAAAAGAAAAGACCAATCATATTCACTAATATCCTTCTTAAAAGATTCCAAACTGTGGTTTGTTACAGTTTGTATTGTATATGGTTCACGATACATCTCCTTAATATTCGGCTTGTGGGAATAACACATAAATACCGGGCAATGATCACTTATATCTGATGAAACTGTTCCGCACTGAAATACACTGGCTTCGATATTTGTTATTAGTAAGTCAAGGCACGAGACAGATAATGGTGTAACACGTGTAGCTGTGGAAATAACATTCCTAAAACCGGCACATTGAAGCATGTTCAAAAAATTCGTAGTAATAGGGTTATCATTCAAGATATTGATATTGAAATCACCACCACATTGTTGAATTAAAACCAAGCTAATTGCTATAGTGAGAAGTGAGGCCATACTCATCTTTGTTAGTTGCACGCAAGGAAGCTTTGGTTTGGGTTTTACAGTTGATTTTGCTTAAAATGACATGCTCCAGAATAATTATAACAGGCCGTTTTATCTATAATTCTTAAGAGAAGAAGTGTTAACGCAGAAAGCGCACTCAGTGATCCGACCACCTGTATTCCTCAACACTCGACCAGCTGTATTTCATCATCTATTCATCCTAAGATATTAGGAAGGCAGGCCTACTTTCCAGTTCTCCTAATTTTGATAATTTTCTGACACATTGCTTGAAACACCCATCATATCTTAACTTCCCATATGATAAAACAGAAAATTACACGCACCCATTCTCTTCACAGTCACTGACTTAAAAAAAAGTTTCTCGATTTTTAGCTAATTTCACACTTCCTAAGTCATGGGAGGCTTATACAGAAGTCGTTACCACTAGTGTTCGTGCAATAGGCAAGTGCGCTAGGAGCTGTCAAAGCGGCCTAGCTCACTGTATGGGAAGTTCATGTATTCTTGATAAATACACGAGCTCAACGAAGGTCTGCATAGTTCCAGTCGCCTTTTAAAACAAATATGATGTTGGCTTTGTGCTGGGACAATCCTTTGTGCAGTACTATGTGACTTCTACACCAAGTGTTTTTTTTTTTTTTGTCAATATGTGTGCACCTCATGATCACGTATGTCGCAAAGTATTTATATGAGTAGTTCCTCTCTTTCAACAGGGCTTACTTTGCTCTTGTTTATGAATACAAAGTATGGTGCCACAGATGACCAGAAAAAGTATGGCTATGAGTGTCCCTCTAACTGCACTGAATAATATTACTATCGGCGCTTCTCGCGAGTGAAGATGAACCGATTTCTTCAGGATGTTCAAATTCTCGCTGCGATAGTTTTAGGCCTAGGCATCGCAGCTCTTTGCCTCGACAGCCACTCACTTTCATGCGCCCCCAGCCAGAGGCGATGCTGTGAATGTTTGGTAAATCAGTGACCAGTCACATGCAACGTAGCGGCGTGTTATATCAAACAGGAATATCGTCTGACACATTTTAAAGTACCTTACTTTGAAGTGCGTGAATCTTCTAGACTCAAAGTGTTCCGCGCCCTTGAAATCTGAATGAAATTTGACTATGAATACCAGGCCTTACTCCTGAAGAATGTTTTCTGCCGTTGCCTCTAGGAAATCAATTTGGGTTATGAACATTGACTCTTATTTTCTCGCATAAATATGCCTTTCATAAAGGCATGCGACTTTCTATCATTCGTTAAGAGATATCACTATGATGGCGGTTCATAACCTAATAAACACTCACCGCTTTTTTTCCAAGTCCTGTTTTTCGCAGAAGTACACCACAACTCAGATTTCTAAGTAATTCATACATACCTTTGACCAGCATGACTGATGCTGCAAGAATAGAGATGGCACCACAACTTTGCTGAAACGAAAATTGAGCAAAATTCAGAAATGCCTCTTCGAAGCCTGGATACTGCATCATAATACAGATATGTACAATGCGGTTTCGTGGTTATCATTGTAGCCTTCAGAAATGCACCTCTAAGTCAAGAGGTGCATTATTGAAACTTGTTTGTTTTGAGCTTTTATCAACTTTTACGTACTGTAATTGTACCACACGTCTAGCGTTCAGAGACCAATGTTCCGTGCAGATTTTTCAAGAATAACCACTTATGAGAAGTTTATTATTATTATCGTGTTCGGGCGGATTAGCTGCATTCTTGAATTACTCGACATGACTGCACTATCGAAAAATACCGTAGAAGGGCGTCCGTTTTTCGCCCTCTTAAGGACAGCTCTTGGAAATTTTGTTATTTATTTATGGGGCACTTCAAACATATCAAAAATATAGAAAGATGTGAAATTCGATCATGTAGCTACCAGGTCAGCCACTTCGCGTGCGGCCTTGACAAATGAAACGCTTAAAAAATTACAGACAAGAACAGTTTTCGCATGTCACAAATTCATATTACCATCTGCTTCCGGCAATTATGCTCTGTCAGACATGATTTTGCAAGATATATGTACACACAAAAATCATCTTGGTATTTCACCTACTGACGAAAATAAAATTGAATAAATGCGTCTAATGATGATAATATGTGGGGTTTAACATCCCAAAACCACCATATGATTATGAGAGACGCCGTGGTGGAGGACTCCGGAAATTTCGACCACCTGGGGTTCTTTAACGTGCACCCAAATCTGAGCACACGGGTCTTCAGCATTTCCGCCTCCACCGGAAATGCAGCCGCCGCAGCCGGCATTCGAACCCGCGACGTGCGGGTCAGCAGCCGAGTACCTTAGCCACTTCACCACCGCGTAGGGGCAATATGTGCGTCTAGGCAGGACTTTTATATATTTACTACTTGATTTGCTATGATGTACATGAATGGATAAACAATGACAAAAATTATAGTTACAAAATTATAAAATTTTCATACGCCACGTAATTTGTTGCAAAAGCAAAGTGGCATGAGTCTTACCGAAAGAAAAATATAGATGGCGCTTGCCGTCAGTGCAATGGCTTTGTTGAATCGTAGGCGAATATACTGCATAAAAAAGGTTATTTGTTTAGAATATTCAAAATAACAATGGCACACAGGAAGAACAGCTTACATCCTGACAACTACGTCGCTTCAGTCACGGTTGAACACAACTCCATCCCCCAATGCCCCTTTCAAATGCTGTCAGACTATGCACTCGACTGACATTTCATCTTATGACTGTGAAACCATTCACAAATGTGAATGTGCCGTAAATGCATCCGAATGTATCACACAAAGAACGTTCAGTGCTAGTCATTTTATACTATATATATTTACTTGCTGTTGATATGTCAATTTCGTAGCTTCCATGCAGATGAGCACACCCTGTAAACCAAGTCAACCATTTCAAGCATCACAGGTGTAGGTTACATATATCTTGAAGCACTGACATCGTTGTTTCGCTGTAATACTCAAAACTTATTTTCAAGAAAAGCAGGCTGCCTCGGGATCTATAGAACGACTATGTAAATGATCGTGACTACATTTTCACTTTTATTGTAGATGTAGATATATCAACTTTAACATGTCGTATCCCGGCGTCATTTCCGGCAAGCCTCGCTGCTTTTGGAAATGTACACTATTCGTAAAAGCTGATAATGTCTTTCACCAGAAAACCTTATAGGACGAGATATCCCAAAGGCCACAAACTGCCTGAAAGGAAATCCACTAGAACCAATGTGCTCAGCGAAAGATAAGTTGTGCCGGCATACGTCACGGACGTTTTCAGCTTGACGATTTTGGTGAAAAAGACGGTGCTTTTGCAATGTACTAGATAGGGAGAGAGGCAGATGCCACTTGGCTTTTCACAGTGTTTTCAACGTCGGGTCATGATGTATTTTGCTGGAACAAGTAAACAGTTTACGACATAGCCTTTTAGATGCCAGATAACCTTGACGCCTAATTTTTCATGGAGAGCAGTGAGACGCTATCTTACGCCGCTCGAGAGCCGATATTCAGGAGGTGATTCTGGACTGCTCTGGTGAACCAGAGGAGTCCCGCGTCAAGTAGTTTTTTCCCCCTACGTTTTATTGCCAACTTATAGAGCAGGGCACATAAAGCTGTTTAAAGAGAAATGAAGTCCGTTCATTTTTTTATTGAGATAGAAAATGAACGAAGGAGTTTTTGTCGCCGTTACATGGTGACGGCTACCCCTTTACATTTATTTGGTGCAACTAAAAATATAAAAAAACAATAGCATGTATACATATATACAGTCCTACATGGGTGAGAGCAAAAGTTCTCCTATATGGACAGAACAAACACGTAGACGACACAATCACTTTTAACTTTTGTCCGCTCAATATTAGTCACAAATCTTCGTTTCTTCGAAGAACTCTTGCAGCACCTTCACTGCTTTGCTGTTTGCTTTGGATGGCCATGGACCTAGTATTTTATTCAAACCGAATAGTCGCTCAGGATCTAACCTATGCAGTTCTTGTTCTAGTCGCTTTTGGTGTGTGTCGTGTTGCGGGCAGTCGAGCAAGAGGTGATAGATATTTTCGTTGTCGTGGCCGCTTGAACATGCTGACGATGTTGTACGATAAATATGAAGTAGGAAGTGCTTTGTGTAACCAGTTCCAAGTCGTAGGCGATGAATGAGCGTGTCGATACGTCTTGGGAGGTCACGGTCTAATTGGTATTCAACATTAGGATCAACAGAATATAGGATCGATTCCTTTGTTCTTTCTGTGAATCAGGTAGACAGGCATAATTCACGTTTTGTTGTTCTTAAATTTCAATTTACATCATATTGAGATACCGGAATGAGGCACGTTTGCGTAGAATTATGAGTGGTTTTCGCCAACTCATCCGCCATTTCATTTTCCCTAATTCCGAAATAACTTGGTACCCACTGAATTGCCACTCAATGATTCGACTTCGCAGCTTCTGAGAGCTTTTTTAGTATAGCGTATTCTATACGCACATCAATGTGTCTTGAAGTGGCACTTTCCGCACATGTTAGTGCTGCCAGAGAGTCTGTAATTACCACCCATTTTCTTCGTGTCGTTGAAAGTTTAATAAAGCTCATGGCTAGCAAAATCGCTACGAGCTCCGACGTTGTTGAAGAAGAAAGGTGGCCCAACCGACATGCATATTCTTCGTGCAATTCCAGAATTATGAATGCTGATGTCGCTGTCTCTTTGGTGACGGAGCCGTCAGTGTACACATGAATGTATCCTTGGTACCTGTCAAACAGATGATGTGATGCCAACTGCTGAGCGGCAACGGTTGGCACTTCAATGTTTGCTGCGAAGTCCTTCTATTGACGTTTCAATAGTTGCTACCTCAAGCAGCCATGGACGGTAGTTTTGATCCAGTGGCCAATGTGTAGACACAGGAAGCCGGGAAATGTACTGTTGGTGCACATGGCGTATTTGCACTCCAGAACGGTTCACGATGTTGGATAAGAGCGGATGGGAAGGGTGTTGTGTGACTAGACGAAAGAGGTGCCGACATGTCTCCACATTTCTAATTACTATAAAGTTCGGTTCTCTTGCCTCTGCCAGTGTCAAAGAACTTGATGTTGCCTGTGGAACCTCCAGACATATGCGTAACCTTCGTGCTTGTAACAGCTGAAGTCGGTGTAGAGATCGGTGTAGGGATGCTGTGGAGAACTGGCGCAGAGTAGGCAATTTTCTGTCGGATTAGTGCACAATGGACGTGGAGGAGAGACGCTGATGTACCGCCCCATTTTGTTCCCGCGATGCGGCGTATAACATTTATGGCGCTGTTCACTTGATTTTCTAGATCATCAATATGCTGACTCCATCTGAGTTGGCTATGTAAGGTAATGCCAAGGAAGCGATGCTTTCGTGCGATTTCGATTTTCTGGCCATCCACAAAAGCTTCAAGTTTTTCACTCTTTTTCGCGTGAATGGCAGAACTACAGATTTGGCGCGAGAAATCTGCATGCCTCGCTCTTTGAGGTAGTCACTTATTGCGTCTAGTCCTTGTTGAAGCCGATGTTCGATCACTTCCAGTGATCTGTGAGACGTTCATTTGCATATGTCGTCTGCATACATGAATATGTTCAAGGCTTCGAGCAGTACTTCTGGAAGACCTGCCATTGCAGCATTGAAAAGAAGCGGACTTAGAACGCTTCCTTTGGGGACACCTCCGCTCTTGCTGAAGCGATCGCTATCTCCTTTATTGGTTGAAATATATATTTGTCTGTTACTTAGGAAGTTGGCGGTCCATTGAAGGATACGACTGTGAACCCCTAGTGAGGTAAGCCCGTGCAGCACAGAAAGGTGGCTCACAGAGTCGAACGCCTTCTTAATATCTATGAATGCCGCAACAGCCACGTTTCCACAGCTCATCTCATGTTCTACAAATGTAACGAGGTTGAAGACGCAGTCCATGGTGCATCACCGTCATCTGAAGCCAGCCATCTGTTCTGAAAGTGAGCTTTTAGCTTCAATGCACCACTGTAATCTTCTGTCAACCATTTTTCCATTACTTTAGATACTCAGCTAGTGAGGCTGACTGGTCGGAATGAGTCAAGCGAAAGCGGTAATTTACCGGGCTTCAGTAGTGGGACGATTCTCGCGACCTTCCAACACATTGGAACGTACGCCTTCGTCCACATGTCGTTATATATCCGTAGAAGAACTGGCATGCCGTTCATTCATTCATGACTGATATTCCTGCGTAGTATAGAAAGCTCATTTCATCCTTATTTTAATGATTGCTCACTGTTGTACTAATGAAATTAGACTGTGGCGCATGAATCGTCGTTTTTATTTTTTATATTTTACCACAAAGTGCTGCATGCAGCTTCTCAGCTGTAACCTTGTTCCTACACAGAGTCGGTCTTTAAGAGTATGGTGTACCGGTCACAGCCTGCGCCTAATGATCTGTTACTTTCATCATTATCTCAATCTGTATACTCTTTATTCAGATATAATTTTGGTAATAAATCTTCCTAACATATTTGGTAGAGGTAACTGTGAAGCTTCTATCATTCAACCACCGTGAAAGAATGGTTGTGTATGACATAGTCTTCATGCTTCGGGCTATGAACAAACTCGCTTCTTTTTTTATTGTTGTGCTTTCGTTCTTGTTCGGAAAAAAACCGCTCAATGGGAGTATCCTGAGCCTATTCGAGTTTATGAGACTAAGAAGGTGAATGTGCTTAGCTGAAACTGCTGAACATTTGTCTGACATCATCATGCAACAAAGAACCCTGAGCCACACAGAGCCACATGGAGCTCAAAGAAAAAAGTTTAAGCAATATAAGGCCCATCAGTCACATGCTACTTACATGTCATGCAGTGCAGTTTCTGTAGTAATTAGCATGAAGTTTCCTTCTAGCGTTCTGCGATGAATCTCTAAGCATTATTTAACAAATAAAAAAGATTACCTTAGTGACGTTGGCAGGAAAAACTTGCTTGAGGCATCTGCCTACTAACTAGGCACCACTCAGACAATGTCGATGTCTCGAAGATATACTGTAGATAATAAAATTCGCACGAAGTATACTGTTGCGGGTCTATAAAACATCAGTTCCGCGTGTATTCCCCTGCTCTGTTGCACATGCGCGAAGAACCATGTAGCCGCTTTCAATACGTTTCCTTTCAACTTTTGGCTAGGATAATTTTTCTTTGCAATCTATTAGTATATATTTTACTACGGCATATCTGTCACGGAAACACGTCGGCGACGTTGTAGTGTACTCCAGCCTCCAACATTATTTGTTAACAGTCACTGCGTGTCTAAAGAATAAGTCGGCCCCGTATCTGCATGTAATCTGCAAATGTCGTCAAAAGACGATAGTCTCTCGTGTGGAGAGAGTGAACAAAACATTTATTTGATGTTATGCGCAAGAAAATCAGTGAATGGTATTACGGAGGCGCTGAATTAGAACGTACAGCGGGAAAACGAGTGCATGAAGTCACGTCATACGTGAGACATGAGCACCATCTGGCAGTTCTTTGAAAACGATAGTCTTTCTTGGGGACCTCCGACGCAAAACTTTTGGTCTGTCTGTCTGTCTGTACAAT